ACATTCCAACATGACGTTGAAGTGCTTCACCTTTACAGGGTTTCAGGAAGTAGTGGGAGGATCCGCTTTAGCACAATGTGCGGACGGCGCCATTTGGGGTATACCAGAGGCCGGACTTCGGAGTTGCATACTGGCAGTGGCAATTTGAGTGGAGTCTGCTTGTTGGCTAGAGGGGGTGCTGGGATTTGTTATATGGGGGAGGACTGGGATTCGATATAAGGGGGGGACTGGGATTTAATAGAGGGGGATTGGGATTTAGTAGAGAGGGTGCCTTGGTTCAGTAGAGGGGGATGCTGGGGATTTTTTTATACTGTACTTTTCAAAATAAACCTATGTTTCTATGAAAATTTAAAGGAACACTATTATTTTCCTGGCACTATAGGGTTATTAGGTCCCCCCCCCCCGCTGGACTGAAGGGGTTAAAACCTCTTCAGCCACTTACCTTAATCCAGTGCTGGGCTCCTTCGGTGCTGGTGACCTCTCCTACCCCTGCCAACATCAGCTCCGAATGCGCATGCTCGGCCAGAGCCACGTGTGCATTCAAACCGCCCATAGGAAAGCATTACTCAATGCCTTCCTATGGACGTCCAGCATTAGTTCAATGCAATTTTCACACTGAGAATCCCGGATGCGCCTCTAGAGGCTGGATTAACCCTCAATGTAAACATAGCAAACATAGCAGTTTCTCTGAAACGTAGCAGTTTTCAGCTGCAGGGTTAAAACTTGGGGGACCTGGCACCTAGACCACGTCATTGAACTTAAGTGGTCTGGGTGCCTATAGTGGTTTTACGTTTTTTTTGTGGCCCACATAAAGTTAAACCTTGTTTATTTGGCCCGTGCTAGACCTTGAGTTTGACATGCTTGCCCTAAATGTATACGTAATGTCATATGAAACAGGAAAGAAAATATTAAGAAAATGTAACAATTTCTACACACCAAGTGCAAGTACAGAAACTAACCTAAATTGATTCACGGATTAGTCTTGATTGTAAAATGCCCAATACATCTAAGATTTCAATTAATTTTTAGAAGTTATAAAACAAATACTGCAATGAGTATGTATGGATAGATACCTGCATTGCACTTTGCATGTATAATCTGTATAAAATGTTTAATACAAAAAATGCTGTCAGTTTTTCTGCTTTTCTTTAACTCCTTGCTAGTATTCTCTTGAAATTCAGTTGTTATCACAAGATGTACACCATCCTTGGGATGGATTACTAAGAATGTCTATTTATTGGTTCTCATGTGTACTACTTTAAAGACAATAGATATTCAAAATTGCATTTCTTGGTAAAAGTTTGATCAATGTATACAAAAAACAATTCAAATGACAAGGGAGGTATCTTTAAATTCGAGAATATAATTTGTAGAAAGGGAATTTAAGGTACTTTAATTCACTGCCAAATGTAGTTTGTTTGGTTTGTTCAATCAATGCTCTGTTGGACATCTATCTAGCAAAAATAGGCATACCGTGTTGTAACAATTAATTGTAGCTTACATAAAATGCTCGAGTCAGGGAAAAATGTGTTGACACTTTATTCTTTATCCTTATCCTCTTTACCCTTTAAAATATGTGTATCATTTATTTTGGTTTTCTTTTCTGGATCCAACAGTGTTCTCCTTTACTGGTTGAATTTGACACTCTTCCATGCTAGCTGAAAAAAAATAATGCTTAGAGCTTAAAGTAAAGAAACATATTTAAAGGCTTTCTTGTTTTGGTTTAATAATTAGCTCATTTAGAATCTTATAGCCCTTCAGTGATGGTAATGCTATGAATACTCTCTGCATGTAATTCAGTGAGGGTTATTCATTGAAGGGACACTATAGGCACCCAGACTACTTCAGCTCCTTGAGGTGGCCTGTGTGTACTGTCCCTGTCAGTTTAACCCTGCAATGGTAATTATTGCAGTCTTTGATAAACTACAATAATTATATTTCAGGGTTAACTTCACCTCTAGTGGCTGTCTACCAGGCGGTCCAGGGTCATTAGGCAACTTTTGGTCGCTGAACTGATGCTGCTATGCATGAGGGTATCCAGCATCAGTCAATTCCCCATAGTAAAGCATTGTATCAATGCTTTCTTATTGGGTTGTCCTAATGTGCTGCACATCAGCCAACAATGGAGGGGAGGAGGAGCGGAGGTGTAGCCTGACCCAGTGAAATTAGCGTTTGATTCAGGTAAGTTACAGAAGAGCTTTCACTTTCACAGGAGGGGTTTTTGTGAGAGATACTATTGTGCTAGAAATACAGTTTTTGTATTCCTAGCCTATAGTTTCCCTTTAAACCATTAACTGTAGACTTGCGCAATTCGTCTGAATTTTGTGTGATTTGCAATTCAACCAAAACCCAAATTACGAAACACTATACAAACAAATCACAAAACAAATTAAACAGACAATGCACAAGACCATTTAATTTGTGATAGAAAAAATTGTGATATAAAAGTATTATCTTTTTAAACCTACTCACCCAGATGTCGTGGCCTAACCACATAAGAGTAAAAGATGTTGTGGCCCAGTGACTCAAACTCTTTGGTGCTCCAATGTCCTTGCCTGTGTTAGAACAGCAGATTTTATTGAAACCGATACAATCTCTAATTTGTTACATATACATTAATATGAAACTTTTTAAAGCAATGAGTTGCAAATAACAAATCCATTTACAAATTGAACAAATATGCAGGATATCAAGGGTTTACGTTTGGTTTCATTTCAGAACTGTTGCTAATAAATTGATTTTTTTCTTAGACATTTATTTAACTGCTCCTATTTATCTCAATTGAATGCACATTCATTTTCTGAGAGATTGAATTTAAGTCTGAGTTAACTTCGTCTCATTCTTCGGCAGTAAGAAATGGTATTAGGATTTAAAAAAAAAAATGATATGGTCCCAGTTTTCAAAGAAATGGTGGTTCAATACAATATATTACATTTTATGTGTCCTTACAAATTGGTGTTCCAAATTGTGTCACGGCAGTAAACACATTATACAGCAGTGTACTGTTAAGTCTAAAATCAATGGAGGAACATGAATTTTGAATAGAAAATGGAGTCAGTAAACAAGAAAGAATGAATAATATTGCTATAGTTTATATCGATAGAAATAAATACATAAATAGTGTTCTAGAAAAAACTGATTGGATATTGTTTTCTAGAAAATCAATAACTTGAAGGAGTTCAAATATGTATGTTTAATGTCTTAAGTTAACTACTTTGAGTTAAAAAAGTTAAGGTAAAATTGCTCACATGGAAAATATATGTCTTATTTTTACAGAGTTAAGCATCATTCATAACTAAAGAAATACTCTAAAACAATAAGCACTGCATCTTACAGTAGTTTTTAAGGTACTCAAATTATTTGGGTACCATGCTCAAACTTTTGTCATATCCTTTTTAAGTGGATCAGCAAAAAACAGGAGCCTCCTGATACAACCAAAGCCTGTTTCAGAAAGATCTGATGTGATATGTGCATATTATACTTTGGATAGCAAGAGGATTTTTTTTTGTTAAACTGTTGAGAAAAGTGTGCCAAAAATAGAGCAATGCATCCAAATAGTTCTTGCAACATCAATATAACAACACAATGTAGTAGTCACATTTCTCAGAGTGCCTCTTTAATTAATATTAACTGTTTATAAGTCATCTGTCGACACTAAGTATTGGTGGCAGCTAGTAGCTATCAAGTTATGTGATCAAGTTATCCGTTACACCTGCTTCAAACTGGTGAACATTCCCTATTACATATTATGAGCTTCTGATTAGACCAATCAGGTGATCAGTCCAATTACCTATGTTTACCTTTAATATTAACTATTATTGTTCTAAAGAGTCTACTGTGTCATAAAATGGCATCCAAAATATCTGATGGATCTGATAAAACAACCTTTGTTCTGCAGAGAATCATTTCCCATTATGTAGGTAAATCTCCTTTTTTCAGGTTACATTAGCCTAATGTATTATTTGTGCTGTGTACTTAATGAGCAGGTAACCAGAGACATTATTTGAATTATCCTTGAATATAGTTATAATATAAAATTATATCTCCTCTGAGATGTATTTTTTTCTAAAGTGGACATGTATCGGTTTTTAAAGGTGGATCTGATAGGAAGAATGAGAAGAAAGGCACAACATAGTGCTTAACTGTGTTGATTAAAATCAGTTTTAGATATAATTGGCCACTCATACATTGAATGTAATTTTCAAGACTTCATTATATAATAAATGATGCCAATGGATGTCTCCTGTTATGTAGCCTCAGTATCCTCAGTCATATTGGACCATAAATGTCTGAAAAAGAAAGTGCAAAGAAAAAAGTGTAAATTCCAATTAAGTGCGAAAGATAGTTTTAATCACTTAAAAACAGCATATGTGGTAGTTTAAATACCAGTCCTATGCGTTTTGTCCCAACAAGGGACTTCCTAAGGGACAAGGAGCTATGCAAACCAACAAAATTAAAGTACATTATTTTTGTTGGTTTGCACAGCACCTTGTCCCTGAGGAAGTCCTGTGCTGGGACAAAACATGTCGGAGTGGTGGACTGGTGTTTTAACTACCACATATGCTGTTTTTAATTGAGGAAGTCCCTTGCAGATCCACCCCTATTTCCTAGTCATTGTCTATGATTATTCCTAAGTACTTCTAATTATCAATATCCCTAACTTAACTTCAATTTATAGTATAAATGGAATGTATTGAGCTAAACTGCATAACTTTGCCTTTATCTACATAGTGTCAGGGGTGGCGGTACGGAAACCGGGACCCCTCAGTGCCTGATGAGAAGTTGGGAGTCTTCAGCATGGTAGTGGATTTATCAGGGCCTGGTGCAGGGTAACCACACGTCCTCTGGCGTTGAGCACCAGCGTTTGCACGGCCACATACCAGAACCCTGATGCAGCTACAGTGGATCCCAGGAACTAGGAGCTTGATATGCAGACCTCCCAGGAACTGGATAGGGGGGCTCTGCAGCAGACATGTATCCAGTACAGAAACAAGGCAAGGCTAGTATAGTCACCAAACATGAAAACAAGACAGAACTAATAGAACCCAGAATCAGAGCAGGACAGAAAGCAGAACCCAGAACATGTACACAGGACATGAGGAAAACAAGAACAGGGCAGGAAAGGACTGTACATGGACTGGGAATACAAAATAAAAACAAGACAAGATATGATAGGCAAAACAAGAGGAGACATAACTAAGCACTATGTATGAAAAGTATTGGGATTTGGTTACATTATATGATCATACATTGCATAAGCCTGCCACAACGCCAGTGTACCCCATATCTAGCAGGTCCTACTCTGTCTAATGCAAACTAAACCAACCAAAGGAAACACACATAGTCCTTACCTGCAAGAAAGGGCAGAAGACTTGAGCAGCTGCCTGCAGGACACTGAAACAAAAGGAATGATGGAAAACAAACGTGTGTGGCAACATAAAACAAACTTTTAACCCCTTAAAACCGGAGGACGTACAATTACGCCCTCTAATAGGTGGCTCTAAACGCCGCCGGGCGTAATTGTACGCCCTCCGGTTTTTGTTAACTTACCCGGTCGCCGGCGGTCCCACGCCGGCGATCGCGGTGGGGGGGACTCCCAGGGAGCCCCCCGCGGCACATCCGTCCTCGTTGAAGCCCCCCGGCCATGTGAGAGTGGGGTCCTAGCGAGGACCCCACAATCACATGGCCGGGTATAGCTGGCTTCTGTATTGCCGGCAGGGGGGCTGCCTGTAATTACAGGTGGTCCCCCTGCTGGCTGAAAATAAAATAAAAATAAGTTAATGGTGTAAAAAAAAATAATTATATATACTTAGATCATATGTATATATTATATATATATGATCTAAGTATATATATACACATATACATACACACACATACGCCGTCTAGGTGTATTTTACTATTAATATATATATAATTATATATATATATTAATATCAAATTACACGTAGACTGATACTGATTAAATATATATATAATTATTGTTATATATATATTTATATATAATATAAAAAAAATAAAAATGTAAATACGTTAAAAAATAAAATTAAAAAAATAATTAAAAATAAATAATTAAAAATATATAGATGTGTGTTATTTCGTTCTAACTGTTTTGTGAAATTAATATATATATATATATATCAAAATACACGTAGAACTAAATAATATATATATCTATATACATAAATATATACGTATATATCACTATATATATACCTATATATAAATAAAAATATTTAAAAAAAATTATATAGATATATACATATATATACACATACGTATATATATACATATATTAATTCTACATATATATTTATGTAATATTTTTACATAATTAGGTATCTTAATTAATTACAATTAGCAGGACCTGCTTGACAACCCATGCCGAAAGTAAAGGGAATTTAATTTGCTAGCACTATATTTAACCCTATAACTTTCCGAGACACCATAAAACCTGTACATGGGGGGTACTGTTCTACTCGGGAGACTTCGCTGAACACAAATATTAGTGTTTCAAAACAGTAAAATGTATTACAACGATGATATCGCCAGTAAAAGTGACGTTTTTTGCATTTTTCACGCACAAACAGCATTACACGGACAATATTATTGCTGTGATACTTTTTACTGTTTTGAAACACAAATATTTGTGTTCAGCGAAGTCTCCCGAGTACAACAGTACCCCTCATGTACAGGTTTTATGGTGTTTTCAAAAGTTACAGCGTCAAATATAAGGCTTGTGTTTCATTTTTTTCACATTAAAATTCGCCAGATTGGTTACGTTGCCTTTGAGACCCTATGGTAGCCCAAGAATGAAAATTACCCCTATGATGGCATACCATTTGCAATAGTAGACAACCCAAGGTATTGCAAACGGGGTATGTCCAGTCTTTTTTAGTAGCCACTTAGTCACAAACACTGGCCAAAATTGGCATTTTTTGCATTTTTCACACACAAACAAATACTAACGCTAACTTTGGCCAGTGTTTGTGACCAAATGGCTACTAAAAAAGACTGGACATACCCCATTTGCAATACCTTGGGTTGTCTACTATTGCAAATGGTATGCCATTATGGGTGTAAATTTCATTCCCGGGCTACTATACAGTCTCAAAGGCAACGTAACCAATCTGGAATTTCAATTTCAAATGTAACGTGCTATATTTGACCCTGTAACTTCCCAAAACGCCATAAAACCTGTACATAGGGGGTACTGTCTTACACGTGAGACTTTACTAAATACAAATATGTGTATTTTATTGCAGTAAAATCAAACAGTATTATGACACTGACCTTTAAAATGCAATTTAGAACTAAAAAAATCAAAAAAATCGTATTTTCTCCCATTTTTTTCATATTAAATTATGTTTCATAGCTAAATATTTGATATTAAATGAAAGCCCTGTTTCCCCTGAATAAAATGATATATAATAAGGGTGGGTGCATTTACTATGAAAGAGGTGTATTACGGTTGGACAGACATGTAGCGCAAATGCCAGGTTTTGTTTACATTTTGTTTTGTTCACAATGTGTACATTTGGCTCCGTCCTTAAGGGGTTAAATGAATCCAAGAGACTGGAAATTCCAGGGACAGATTACAGGAATGAACCCAGAAAAACCCAGCATAAAGAAAACCAGACATAAAATAGAAAACCAAAAACTAAACAAGAATTGTAAAAAGAGTACTGGATAACAGAAGCCATCACCAGACTGATCCGCAGAACATGGCATGATGTGACACATAGAACCTGTCACTTGCATGGCCAGTTCAGATCCCTTTGTAGAAATGTATGAGCCTGCTCAGACTGTATTAGTATAAGTAGTTTCCCATGTTGACAAATTGATAAAGGATCAAATCACTGTAATTTTCATATTTCGCTTATACGTGCCCTTGATTTCAAAGACAATGTTTTAAAATTTAACTTTTTACTGCAATATTGTATTTTATTTTATGAACATTAAAAAGACGAAAATAACAAAAAATAGTTTCCTTTTTTTTTTTGTACCTTGTTGGCTTTTAAGAAACTGGTGTATTAAAACATCTATATATTTTCTTTTGGAGTTTCAGTGATTATTGAGATATATTATTTATGAAACACACAGAAAATAACGCTGTCTTATATAATGAGCACTCAAGATATATTCATACCCATGACACTAATAGAGCATTGGTAACTTTGTGTTTTCATTAGTATCTATAATGGAAATAACTATGTTAGTTTATAGATTTCCACATGGCAAATTGGAAAATTGTTCAATAAGTATGCTTAGAAACATCTTGACATATGATGAAGAGCACAATGTAATATAATTTCCAACAAAATGACCATAAAGACTTTAATGTGTTTAGCCACTATTAAGATATCAAGTGATGTATTTACAAAACTCTTTAACCAGAATATTTTCAAAATACTTTTTTGTTTATAAAATTTTATATATAAATAATTGAAATACCTGACAGTTATTGTGCACATCTTATTCGATTTAATTGTAAACTTATGCGGAATTTGTAGGAACAATATAAATTATAATAATAATTTTAACTTCAAAAGAAAAGTAAAAAATGTTTATTCATTATTTTGGTAGTGAATGAGTTAAAGTGACAAAAAAGGGGCGTGGCCTGGACACCAACGGGAGAAGTCGCATGTAATGGCAGCTCCGCTCCAAAAAGCCTAAACTGAGCAATTGCCCCACAAATCAATGGCAACAAACAACTAACACAGCCGTAATGTCTCACCCCAAGACAAAGAGGCAAGCAGAAAAAACGAACAGGATGCAGTTTTTCGCTCCGAAGCAGAACACACAAAAAGAGTCACCTCAGACGGCGGGAAGCCAAGATGGCGCTGACGATGCTTACGAGGCAGCTCCCTGGGCACGCAGTGATCAGGGGCCTCTGACCCAGGCAATAATGTGAGACATGCTAGATGAGATGTCTACCAAAATCATGAAAAATGTGCAGGCCACCATAGGAGACCTACCAAAGAGCTAGGAGATCTTGGCTCCAGAACCTCACGGTTAGAGGAGAAGATGGCCGACGCTGAGGAGGCACATAACAAAATAGCAGACAAGCTGACGCAAATGGCAGAGTGGATTACAGCACAAGAGGTAAAACTTGCGGACATGGAGGAAAGAAGCCGTCAAAACAACTTGCGGCTGAGGGGGGTGGCAGAGTCTGTGGGCATAAGTGACTTAACAGCGCACGTCACGGCCTACCTCAGGTCACTGGTACCCGACATCCCGCAGGACATGCTCCTCTCTGACCGCGTCCACAGGACAGCGATACCCAAATTCCTACCACCGGACGCTCCCAGGGACATATTGGTGCGCATGCACTATTACCATGCCAAGGAGGCCATATTGAAATGCAGCAGAACCCGCAGGGACCTGTAGGAGCAGTACTGCAGCATCATGCTGTTTGCGGACATCTCAGCATTCACACTCAAAAAGAGAAGAGAATTTCAGGACATCACTGTAGCGCTCAGGGAGCACCGTTTAGTGTACCGCTGGGGATAACCAGTCAAGCTGCTGGTGCAGAGAGCAGGCAAGACCTTCATAATTTTCACCCTAGAGGAAGGAGCCCGCATATAGAGAGAATGGGGCATCGAAAGGAGCCGTGAAGGCTAATACCAGACTGGAAAAGAGCAAAACATGCATAGACTGTACAAGCAGGGTGCCGGGGAAGGCTTACTGTTGCATACTGTGCTGAGCCACAAGTATTAAAGGACCACTATAGTGCCAGGAAAACATACTCGTTTTCCTGGCACTATAGTGCCCTGAGGGTGTTCCACCCTCAGGGACCCCCTCCCACCTGGCTCTGGAAGGGGGAAAGGGGTTAAAACGTACCTTTTTCCAGCACTGGGCGGGGAGCTCTCCTCCTCCGATCCTCCTCTTCTCCTCCCATGAGGCTGAATGCGCACGCGCGGCAAGAGCTGTGCGCGCATTCAGCCGGTCACATAGGAAAGCATTCATAATGCTTTCCTATGGACGCTGGCGTGCTCTCACTGTGAAAATCACAGTGAGAAGCACGCAAGCGCCTCTAGTGGCTGTCAATGAGACAGCCACTAGAGGATTAGGGGGAAGGCTTAACCCATTCATAAACATAGCAGTTTCTCTGAAACTGCTATATTTATTAAAAAATGGGTTAACCCTAGCTGGACCTGGCACCCAGACCACTTCATTAAGCTGAAGTGGTCTGGGTGCCTAGAGTGGTCCTTTAACACTATACTGCTGATCATGCTAAAGATACTGTACATGACTATTACTAAAGTACTTGTCCATACCTAGATAAAACCCCACAATGCTTACTGTAGATTCTAGGACAAGACATTAACCATAAGGGTAGCCACGATTGTCTAGAGCAATAGGGGACGAACCTGTGGTTTAAAGGGATTGGGATCCCACAGAGATAAATTGCAGCTAACCCCGAAAATTACTCACAGGTTCAATCACCCCCCAAAAAAATTTCCATAGATATAATGGCCTGCGCACAGGGCATCCTACCCCAGGCATCGGAGCAGAGAGCTTCTACCCCCAAGGCACTTGGACGAAGTGCCTAGCCACAAATAGGGCATGGTTCACCTTTGTATATACTTTTTTTATTGTATGGTGATGTTTTTATGTTGCTACACCCAGCAGGATGTGGCATGTTGCCCATGACGCTGGAGACTATGTTTGGAACCGAGTGGGTGGTCTCATCACTAACACTAACAAGGAAGCGCCTCCCCGGAAGAACGCGTAAGAATAAGAACTAAATTATGCCAAGGCACCTGTGGGAAGTTAACAAAGACCCCAGGGGTTGGCCTGCTCTGCTTGATGGCACTGGGAGGAGCGAGCCACCCCGTAACCAACAAACACTCACAATACACAGCACAACCCTTCATGTTAGACCCTACTTGAAAATATACACACATAATGTAAGGGGATTGAATAACACGGCAAAAAGACACTTACTGACCCGAGAACTACAGAAACGAATCGGAGACATGGTCTGCCTGCAGGAGACCCATTTCCGTACCAACGACTACCCAGAGATCCTAGCTATGAAATACCCACATCAGTTTCACTCTACTTCCCCGACCAAGGCCAAGGGTACCTCTATCTTGTTAAGCAGACATGTCTCTTTTTCCCTAAAATCGTAGCATGTAGACCTGTTATGGACAGAAGAATTAAAATAAAATGGCTATTTACTAATGTCTATTTATTCTGTGTTCACTATGTTAAAATTGGCTGCTAGAGTAAATATTCCCTTCCCCCCCTACAATGTGTTCAGTAACTATTTCCTCTGCAAATTCCTCCCCTCCTGCTAGCCTCCCCCCTTCCCATCGAGCAAGCCTCATGTAACAAAATTCCTCTGTTAAAAGAACATCTTCCTTTATTAAACTCCTCCCCCACTTCCTTTGTGCAAAGTAACAGCTAACAAAATAGAGAATCACTGTTAAAGTAACTACTACTCACTTCCCCCCTTCCATCATGTAACCAACATGGAGCTGGAATGTGGGTGGGAGAAGTCTGTAATGACGACACTACATCCTCTAGGGGGGGTTTAGACAAGACCCCTTAGACTGTTAACCAATTGATGAATGTATACTGTATGTTAACTGTGACTCTGTACATGACGTATTTGCACCCCCTGGAATAAAGGCCACTCTGGCAATTTCTACGTGAAGTGTTGCAAAAGTTCAACATCCCAGAGGGGTTTGTGTCAGTGGTTGAGGCCCTTTATAGCTTCCCAGGGGTCCAGGTGCTCAACTCAGGGTTACTCTCAGAGCCAATAAGACTGACGTACCACACCAGGCAGGGGTGCCCCTTGTCGCCCCAGTTATATGTCTTAGCCCTGGAACCCCTGGCAGTGAGGATAAGGGGCAACCCAAGCATACATGGCGTCACAATTAACAAACACGAATACACGACCAATCTGTTCGCAGATGACATCCAATTGACGTTCACCCAACCCCAGATCTCCCTCCCCAACCTATTACAAGAGATAACTACATATGTAAATCACTCATACTACAAACTTAACATTACCAAAATACAGGCCATGGGGGTGGGAGTCCCGACAAGCGTAATGGAGCTTCTACAGGAATCATTCACACTCGACTGAGACAGGACCACTTAATGTTCTTAGAGATCAAACCTACAAAAAATCCGACAAATCTACTAGCAGCAAATTATGACCCACTGTTGAGGAGTATAGCGAACACTTTGAAGGGGTGGGAGGGGAAGTTCCTGTCGTGGTTGGGTAGGATGGCCCCAATAAAAATGATAGTATTGCCAAAATTCCAATACTTAAGAAACCTACAAGTCCACATACCAAAAACGTATCTAGATAATCTACAAAAGCTCATAACGAGCTTTATATGGGCTCACCGAAAAGTAAAGGTGGCAGCGAAAGTGCTGTGCAGACCACAGGCGCATGGGGGCCTGGGGATGCCAGACATTAGACAATACTACAAAGCGGATATCCTGGCCACTGTTATACAAACTAATGCAAAGGAGGAAGTACCGCAATGGTTGGAGATGAAGGCTTCTTGGGCATGTCCCAAAGGCCTGAGCTATCTATTTTGGATACCCCATACACACAGGAAGGTGCACCCAGATGTGCCACCCACTACACGACTTTTACTCAAAAATATGGGACGCTTCCAGACAACAATGGGGACAAAACAAAGAGTGGGCGCGAGCGACCCCCCTGTACAGCCTGCACTTAGTAAACCCTGCCCTTGACTACCACCCCTGGACACAACTGGGATGTACCAGGGTCAGCCATTTGTACGACAAAGACAAACTGACTGACTGTCCGGACCTACAGTGCAAATACACCCTACCACATAACACAATTTTCCAATACCTCCAGATGAAATTCATGCTCCAGGAATCTGAGACTAGCACTGAAATGGCCCATGCAAAGTACATTGAACAGATGTGTACAGCCACAAAATAGCCCAAGAGGCTACTGTCCACTCTTTACAATATGTAAATCCAGCAAAATACGAACCCCCCCAGACAGGTTTAAATTAGCATGGCAATCAGACATAGGAAAAACCTTCACTTAACAACAATGGGGAAAAGCATTCTTGGCTCACAAAAAGAGGACAAACTGTGCCTCTCACTTGGAGCAGATGCGCAAACTCCAATACCGCTGGTACATGGTGCCGGAGAGGTTGGCAAAAATCTACCCAAACACTTCTAGCTCATGCTGGAGATGCCGAGAGGACGGGGAATCGATGTACCACATATGGTGGAAGTGCCCAACAATAGCCAACTACTGGGAGGAGGTGGAAGAAATAGCGAGAATGGTACTAAGTAGTAAAATCACGATAACACCAGAGTGTGGACTCCTGTTCATGGGTTTAGAAGAGTTCAGCACAACAGTTCAATTTGGTGTACAAAAAGGAACTAAAAAACTAAATCTTTACAACAAATATGCCACCTTAGCCCACACCAAATGGGTGACAAAGATGGGTGGGCAAGGGGATTAGTAGTAATAATATAACAATAATATATTGTGATCCTTGTCTGCAGGTAGCACGGTCCTTTTGGGTACAAACATGCACAGTCTTTAAAAGGAACTTAATTCCAAGCACTTTATTTGTAAATCCACACAGGAAACAGCAGTAGATGATAAAAAAAACAATAATGTAACAAAATCCCTATAAACAAAAACCTAGCTCGTCTGAGCACTAACTAACATCAGATCCCCTATCTCTCAGGGTTAAGCTATAACAAAATAATATTGGTTTCACCAACCTAGTGTCTTTATCAGCTCTCAGCACTCCAGTCTTTAATCAGCCTGCTGCTGCCAGCTATTCAAGAGAGAAAACAAACATTCTCCCTTTACCTGCCTAACAGGGAGGGGTTTATTGCCACTGCTGCAACTGCAGCTGAGCAGTTGGTTGGAGACAGTCCAAAAATCCTGGCCTGGATCTATGTCTCACAAGAAAACCACTAAACTGGAGCACTGGAGTGGAGCACTGGCCCACCCTGCTCTCCAAATGCTCCACCCCAGGGACCCATAATTAAATATTATTTTGGTTATAGACACACACCAAAACACACACTCCCCCTGGGGTTAAAAATCATATGCCTCTCTGAACAATTCAGTTGAAATATAAATTCCCTCACAGACCACCCCATTCACCTTATCACAATATGAAAAACAAAATGTGTCTAGTTCTGTGTCTAGTTCCCACACAGGGAAAGGGCATCGCAAATGATAGGAGAGTAGAGACCGCTGCCCGCACCGGGCATGGAAACACACATGTACATAGTTTTATGACACAAAAAGAGCTGCACGACCACGAACACAGACAAAGAAAAAGATAAGGAGCGATCACAAGGAGTCTGAAAATAGAAAGAGAAGAGAAGGCCGCTGAGAGGCCTAGGAGAGGGTTGGTCCTAGTACAAAAAAGGGAAGGTATGCAGGACACATGGTTCATACTGGTCAGTACTAAAAGATGACAAAAAAAACAAAATAAATGTGTCTGTTCCCCCCAAACCTCACCCCTATTCCCCAATTTATCCCTGTACCCCTACCCCCTCCCTGCACCTGAAAAAATGCTCATCAAAAAAATCATTGATGTATATGGTATACAATATCTGAAACGCCAAGACGATCTAAAAAAATATGAAATACTGTTCCCCTCCTTATCCTACTTTTCTTTTGTACCCCTGGAAAAAAATTATCAATATTGTCAAACTGGAAAAAAAAAGTGCCAAAAAAAACCATTTAGGATCCAGTGATCATCAGTCAGTGTGGTTTAATATAAGAACAGTGACTGAGTCACACCACACAAAAACAAAAGTTTTAGACTTTAGAAAAACAGACTTTTCTAAAATTAGAATATGTGTAGAGGAGTCATTATCAGACTGGGGCAATTTAAATGGAGTCCAAGAGAAATGGGATTATTTAAAAGTTGCACTATTGAAGGCAACAGAAAATTGCATTAGGCTTGTCAGTAAAATCAAAAAATTCAAGAAACCACTGTGGTACTCCACAGATGTGGCCAAAATAGTTAAAAACAAAAAGTTAGCATTTAGGAATTATAAAAAAACCCAGAGTGAGGAAGACAAAATGAGCTATAAGATTAGGCAGAGAGAGACTAAGCAAGTTATAAGAGCTTCCAAATCACACACAGAAGAGAAAATAGCACGGTCAGTAAAAAAGGGGGACAAAACATTTTTTAGATACATAAATGAGAAAAGAAAAGTAAAACAAGGATTAGTTAGATTAAAAACAAAATAAGGAAGGTATGTAGAAGAGGATAAAGGTCTAGCTGACTGCCTCAATTAATATTTTTGTTCTGTATTTACAGATGAAAATCAAGGAAAAGGACCTCAGTTGAGAAAAAGGATAAATGAGTAATTTATTACACGTGAGTTTACAGAGGAAGAGGTTCTATTTCAACTGTCAAAAGTAAAGACAAATAAGTCAATGGGACCTGATGGAAGACACCCAAAGTGACGTTAATGGATTAACATGCTTGCAATAAATATGTGATACTTTAATTACCTTTAAAGAGACAGACAAAAGGAACACGTACATAGCTGGTCAATATCCAAATTGTTAGAAATCCTACCTTGTACATTGTATTCTTCATAACTCATTCAGCTATACACTTGACTATTGGTATGATGATCATGGTAAACTATTATGTTTAAAAAAAATATAAAGCAGGTAAATGCTTATAGACTAAATAAAATCCAACCAGATAAGCTTGTCTGTTTATTCCCAAACCTACATAAAACATGCCTAAAGATTTGAACTCTACCTTTTGCAGAAAACACATCCAACAATGTTCAGACAAATAGTTAATCAAGGACTTTGAAACACATGATCAAGAGGTTCTATTTCAACTGTCAAAAGTAAGACAAATAAGTCGATGGGGCCTGATGGAATACACCCAAAGTTATTAATAACTCAGTGGTGTATTAGCAAAACCATTAACAGATTTATTTAACCAATCATTGTTAACAGAGTAGTCCCAAGATTGGAAGTTAGCAAATGTTGTACCCATTTACAAGAAAGGTAGTAGGGAGGAGTCGGGCAACTATAGACCAGTAAGACTTACTTCAGTAGTGGGGAAAGTGATGGAAACCATGTTAAAGGATAGGATTGTTGAAAATCTAAAATCACATGGATTTCAAGATCAGAGACAACATGGGTTTACTTCAAGGAGTTAATGCCAAACTAATCTTATTGATTTTGTTGATTAGGTAATAGAGCAGCAGGAAATGCTAGCAGAATGCTTGGTTGTATAGGGAGAGGTATTAGCAGTAGAAAGAGGGAAGTGCTCATGTCATTGTACAGAACACTGGTGAGACCTCACTTGGAGTATTGTACACAGTACTGGAGACCATATCTTCAGGAGGATATTGATACCTTAGAGAGGGTCCTGTAATTTCTATGGACTCCTGTAGGTGGCGCAAGGTGATCCGGCAGCCTCGCAAGAAGACAGAGTGTGCAGGCATTGCTCTGCACGAGAGCAACTGAATGATATGCAGCGTAGCAGGAGCGGCGTGGGACCAGATCCATTCTTGACAGCATGTTCCACCAGGCATTCCAAAGTATAACAGTTGTCAGGTGGTTTTTATATGGCTAGTAGGTATTTCTATACATGTTAAGATCCTTTAACCTTTCCTGGTAAGTTTTATCCTGCAATCCATGAACCAGTTTAGTAGACCTTCTCTGAACCCTCTCTAAGGTATCCTTCTGAAGATACGATCTCCAGTACTGCATACAATACTCCAAGTGAGGTCTCACCAGTGTTCTTTACAATGGCATGAGCACTTCCCTCTTTCTACTGCTAATACCTCTCCCTATACAGCCAAACATTCTGCTAGCATTTCCTGCTGCTCTATTACATTGTCTGCTTATCTTTAAGTCATCAGAAATAATCACCCCTAAATCCCTTTCCTCATATGTTGAGGTTAGGACTCTATCAAATATTCTGTACTCTGCCCTTGGGTTTTTAAGTCCAAGATGCATTATCTTGCACATATCCACATTAAATATCAGTTGCCACAACTCTGGCCATTGTTCTAGTTTACCTAAATCATTTGCCATTTGGCTTATCCCTCCTGGAACATCAATCCTTTTACATATCTTAGTATCATCAGCAAAAAGACATACCTTACCATCGAGACCTTCTGCAATATCACTAGTAAAGATTTTAAAGAGAATGGGTCCAAGTACAGATCCCTGAGGTACCCCACTGGTGACAAGTCCAAGCTTCGAATATATTCCATTAACTACAATTGTTATTTTGTTTTTTAGTATCTCTGGCGTCCTTGACCTTGGCTTTCTATTTTGCCTCTGTATTTTGTCTATCTAGGGCTCATGTGAACCCCGCCACTCTAAGGTCCAGAATACGTACCTTACTCTCTCTAATTCCTTCATTCTGGTTACTTTTTCCAAATACTTAGTGTATATGGGTTATCCGATCTTGACAGCAACAAGTTGGAAATTTTAATTTTTGAATTAATGTATTACTTGTATATCATTAGATGCATCCTGTTGTGTTTTGTTGTTTTGTCTTTTCTCAATCTATACTTGTTTTCCTATTGTTAATCAAAGTGATGGGTTTTCTTACTAGACACCTTCATGAAAGCCTGCACCAATATACTTAAAAGACACGTTAAGCACCATAACCACTGTAGCTGACTGTAATTGTTGTGGTGCAAGGAGTGCCTTG